TGGTAGGGGACCTCTGCATGAATCTCTCCTCGCTCTCTGTTCTCTTTCAGTATTCTTACTCCGTTTGGTGTTCGGCTGAGTTCTTTATCTCTTCATTTAATGTTCTAGGGTTTCAGGATTGTTGATTCTCTGTTTGGCTTAGTTTTTCGGATCTTCGTTGTGGAGGGACGGCGTGGTGCTTCTGCCTAGAGCGCCATCTTGCCGGAAGTCTATTTTTATTTTTTATGCATGGCTAAAATCTCTTTAAAGCAGTAGTTTCTTTAAAGTGAAATCCTTCCCAAAACTTAGTGGTTGATCTATAAAAATGTTACTGGGTGGAAATCCCAGGTTCTTGCTCGACATGACTTGTATTGGCCAGTAAGTGAGAGACTGAGGTGGGAAGGCAGAAAAGCACCTTTATTTCCGTGCACAAGGAAAGGCGTCAGTCGTAGCTGCTGCCTCCAAGACTGCTCCCCAAGGATGGGGGGAAAAGTTACTTTTAAGGGGTTTACAAGTAGGGAGTTCATACAAGTTACGTCAGCAACATTCTTAACTACGGCAGGCGCAATAGGGTTTGCATATAACTTCCAAGCAAAGAAAGCAAGCTTCTAATGCAAAGCTGTCAGGGAGGAAGCCAAGCTTTAAATGCAAAAGCTGCCTGGTGAGCTAACAAGGAAAGCAGGATTCTGATGCAAAGCTCCTTGAGGTAGTGGAATTTTCCACAGCCTGGGGAATCTGTCTTAAAAATAGCAGCTTGGTAGTCAGTTTTCTGTAGTGAATAAAACTTGGCAACCACTGTACCCAACTATGTGGTTGTTTACACTTGAGGTAGAAAAGGAAAGAAGAGTGAATTTGGTGGTTTAGTCACCATGAAGCAAGCAGCAGTTAACTGTCTAGTCCCCTTACCTCAATCTCCCAGTATTCTGAGGTTTCCTGCTAACACCTAAACTACTATCCCCTCCACCCTAAATAAAACCCAAAAAACCAAACCCGTTGCCGTTGAGTTGATTCCGATAGGACAGAGTGGAACTGCCCCGTAGAGTTTCCGAGGAGCGCCTGGTGGATTTGAATTGCCAACCTTTTGATTAGCAGCCATAGCACTTAACCACTGCACCACCAGCATTCCTATAGGGTTGCTATGAGTTGGAATCAACTCGATGGCAACAAGTAAACCTAAATAGAGGAAAAAAAGAAAAAAAAAAAGAAAGGAAAGAAAATCCCAAGCCTGTTTCTTCCAAAACGACATATACACAAACTCTCCAGAAACTTGAGAGAAGAAAAAATCGGGAGGAGAAGTATGGTTAGGAATCCCACTAAATTAGGAATAGTTCATTTGGTAGTTATTTAAGAGCATAACTTCTTCTCATGGACGAAGTTAACCCTGTTACATTAATTATCAGGAATGCCAGAAATTAGGTCCTCTGAATGCCACCAACAGGATCAAAATCAAATGTGAATTATAGATATTTCAAAAATTACCATTATTCTTTCACTGAGTTCTATTTAGACCTATCTTGATATATCCAACAATACTGATCACTGTGTTTGTATTTTTGGTCCTGCCTGATCTGAGTGGGCAATTCTAGATACGCTTGTCCCCTGTTGGTGATGATACTTCCTGTTCACCGACCTTGCCTCTGGCTATTCACCAGCTACATAACAGTCTGATTCACCCAGTGTCCCTTCCCCGTCAACCTCCCCTCCCCGCAGGACTTCCCTCTGTCTCTTCTTTAGTACCTTTCTTTCTTCCTCATCCCCATCTGCTTCACAATTCCTTCATGATTTTCTCAGGGCTGGGCTTCAACATCGTCGGTGGGACAGATCAGCAGTATGTCTCCAATGACAATGGCATCTACGTCAGCCGTATCAAAGAGAATGGGGCTGCGGCCTTGGATGGGCGGCTCCAGGAGGGTGATAAGATCCTCTCGGTGAGAACTGGCTTCGGCCTCCTTCAGTGTTCCTTCTTCCTTAGACCCTAGGTCTTACCCTAGCCCCATTTTGGGGAAGATTCCTACCTACTTTTTTGGGTTTGGAAATATTTAGATTGTAGCGTTGAGTGGGAGAGACCTTGATCAGTCATCTTTTCCAACTCTGTCATTGGACATGGAGGATAATATTACCATCATTTGACTGACAAGGCATAGTAAGCCCAGAATGTGAAGTTACTTGCCCAAGTTCAAAAAACACAAAACAGGAAGGGGTAAAGGAGTGGTGTGGGGGAAAGGGACTTAAAACCCACATTTTTTGCCTTCCATTATACTTTGTCACCTCCCATTTGTTGTTTAAAATACTAAAGTGTATCTTTTTTTTTGAGGGGGTTGGATATCAGCCCTTATGATTGGATTTGACTTAACTCCAAAAGAGACAGACAAGGAAGGGTAGGAATTCAGTGTCTTTTTCATGCTCAAAGCCCTTGTTTCATCCATTAGTAAGATGAAAAATTAGAATGCAGTTTGATTTGGATACCTGACCATATACTACCACCTTGCAGATGTCCCTAATGAAACACTTGCTACAGGTAATGATTAATTTTTTTTTTCATGAAAGTTCTTAAAGAGTAGGGATCATATATATATATGTACATATATATTCAGACTCTTTATACCTTAGCGTGGTGCTCACTATGTGTTTAACCAATGATCAAGTTATGAATTCAGACAAACTCAAAAAGGTTGACTGTAAAATATGGGCTCACAAATGCCTGGTCTTAAAGTAGAATAAACCTAAAGTAAATAAGAGTACAGGTAAAATAAGAATTTTTAAAACTACTGAAATGCAAAATATAGCTTTAGCCCTATTTTTCATTTCTGTTCCTTACTATTGGCTACAGCGTCACTATGATGCTGTTACATAGGGAGTAGTTTGGGGATAATCACACTATAGATTGTTGTATTTATTTACCTTACTGATTAGCTGAAGATGGTCAGCTTATTGCTTGTATGGACACAATAAAGACAATTGGTATAAAGAATGTAGAAGTGCTGAGAGGGATGATACTATAGAGGGGACCTAGGACTGGCTTCAAAGGGTTAGACTGAAATAGAGGTACATTTGAACTAGGATAGGACTTCTAATGACAAGAGCCCCTACCTTCTTCTCCAGATGGGCCATGAATGCAAGGTCCAAGAGGAGAAAACTACTCTCTGCTTTCTGTTATGAATTGAATAGGGCAGGAAGACTAGGCTGGGAAAAGTTAATGAATTAAGTACAGACTAAGAAAAGTCTTGAATAACAGAATTCAGTATCAATTTCAAAAACCTACATCTGTAATAAGATAGATTTATCTTAGGTGGATTAGAAGAAATTTTAAAAATTTATTATAGTTTTCTTTTAAGCTTTCCCCTTTGAATTATTTCTCACAGTTCAATTGATTGGCGATTAAAGGTCATATGCATGAAATTTCATGTTGGACACTTCTCTGCTATGCAGCCCATTTAGTAGCAGTACATGATCTTAGAGATGAGATACAAAGAAAAGGAAGGAGAGAACTTCCATCTTTTCTTCATTTGGCATCTGAGTTTGTAAGAAATCAGATTCAGCAGTCTGATTCCGGAAATCTTTTTAAGAACTTTCTTATCAGAACACGTAGCTATCAAACCAAAAACCAAACCAAACCCATTGCCATCGAGTAGATTCCAACTCATAGTGACCCCTACAGGACAGAGTAGAACTGCCCCATAGGGTTTCCAAGGAGTGCCTGGTGGATTCAAACTGCCAGCCCTTTGGTTAGCAGCTGTAGCACTTAACCACTATGCCACCAGGGTTTCCAGGTAGCTAAAAGAGCTACCTAAATTAACTCAAGAATTTTTCTTAATAATGTGTTCTAGCTGATCCACAATAGAAATAGAGCATTATGGATGGCAATATCCCATTTCAGTCCTTCCCACTGACTATTTTGCCTCTGATCAGTCGATTAAGCTTCTCCTAAACTAATTGCCGTTGAGTCAGTTCAGGCTCATGATGATCCCATGTGCGTCAGATTAGAACTGTGCTCCATAGGGTTTTCAATGACTGATTTTCAGAAGTAAATTGCCAAGCTTTTCTTCTGAGGTGCCTCAGGATGAACTCGAACCTCCAGCCTTTCAGTTAGCAGCCAAGCGCATTAACTGTTTGCACCACCCATGGGCTCCCAAGCTTCTCCTAGACCCTATTTATTATCATTGAGATGGAGATAGTGATACTCGATCTCCTTCATCTCTAAAGGATATTGAGAAATGTAGTAGCAGACCCTTTCCTGTAGTTGTCAGGAAAAAGATATTCTAACAACATGAATCACCTTGCCAATGGTCCTTAATGCAAGATAGAGAGTATGTTGTTAAAATAGAAGTATAGCACATAGAAAATATGAAATTTAATATTTTGACACAGGTCACATTCTGTCTAGAACACTGGGGCCTAGACTGTGTGGGTGAAGAAGGATTTAAACACTATAGTGGTTAAGAAGAAAGACATCTTATTTGAAAGACTTGGTTAAAGGTAGATTATTAAAAAATAAGAATGGTTAGAGAAATAAGGATAATTAGAAGTTACTTGCCAGGTAATGTGTTAAGAACTTTAAACTTACTATCTCATTTTACCCTATGAAGTGAGTAAGATTATTATCCCCATTTTGCAGGAAACAGGCTTGGCGAGATCAAAGAATGTGACAATGGCCACACAACTAATGGCAGTAAATGACAGAGGACTAGAACTTTGGTCTGTCTGAATTTTATCTAGTATACTATGCTGTTGTTAGGTGCTGTCGAGTTGTTTTCACCCATAGCAATCTCGTGACAGAGTAAAATTGGCCCATAGGGTTTTCTTGGCTGTAAACTTTACAGAAGCAGATTGCCAGGTCTTTCTCCTGTACAGCCGCTGAGTGGGTTCGAAACAGTAACCTTTCGTCGGTTAGCAGCTGAGCACTTAACCCTTTGCACCTAAAAGGTAAACGATGAGCTAGGATTAGTTATCCTAAACAGAAAGTTGCATAGTTAGTTTATAATAGCTTTCATGCACGGTTTTATATAAAAACTGAAATTAGTCTTTCTATAAAGGGTATTAGTACCCAAAAAAAAAAAAACAAACCCGCTGCCATCGAGTTGATTCCAACTCACAGCGACCCCATAGGACAGAGTAGAACTGCCTCACAGAGTTTCCAGGGAGCGCTTGGTGGATTCAAACTGCTGACCTTTTGGTTAGCAGCTGTAATACTTAACCACTATGACACCAGGGTTTCCAAGGGTGGTACTAGAGAGGAAAAAGAGGCCATAAACCTCAGTGTGAAAAATATATTAGACAAGCTGAGATGAGCAGCCTTTCTTTTGCACCTTTGTATTCTCTATGGGCCATTGCCTCACAGAGAAAAGAAAATTATTGTAAGGTCACTCAGATTTTTTTGAAAAGGCCAAGGGGAGTGATGGACAAAACTATCATGGGGAAGATGGTGAAAGATAAATGTCAATGAAGAGACAAGTAGATATCTAAAAAACTCAGCTTACCTGACTTTAAAATTTAGAAAAAAGAGGATTTTACTTTATCAAAATATAAGAGATACAAGAAACATCACAAAGGTATATATGAGGTATACAAGGTAATATCTAAGACATATTACAAAGAATGATTCAGATTTATGTTATGGCCAGTTAAGAAAAGACATGCAAAAGAGGAGAGGGAAAAATGCCAGGGGAAGGAAAGGCAGAAAGGGTAGAAAATAGACATAGGGGAAAGAAGGAAGACAGAGAAAGAAGAAAAGATGGGGAGAATACAGAAGAGGAAAAGACCAGTATATCCTTTCCATTCTATCTAGGCCTGTATTCTTTGACTCCAGTTTTCCTTTCAATGGTTTGCTCCAAACTTCATTCTAGATCCCATTCCTTAAGAATTAAATAGAACTATTATGGATTAGGCTTTGTTGCCTCACTCACCTGCCATATCCTATTCCCTGTCTATCCTTAAGTAAACCTGTTAGGCCATACAATTAAATGGTTCCATCTATTCTTTAGCTCACTTCATCCCTCTGATGTACTTTAGTACTAATTTATTATTGGCTTTGGAGTATTTTAAATGATCCTAAATTATCTATTCGCCTATATGCCCATTTATTCTTTATGGATTTTCCTCTTCACCTTACATAGGTTAGTTTTCCATGTTGTAAAATATGTCTCATTTCTCTCTAGTAACTTTTGCTGGATAATGTAACTAAGAATATGTCCCTTCCTTAGTATATATCAATTTTGAATAACTAGTAATAGTATTAAGTGATCTCTAGATTTCCTGTAAGTTATTGTTGACTATTAATTTAATGTTTCTATTTCTCCCTAAATAATGCCCTGTATTACCTTGATTCCAAGTCCTAAAATTAAATAGCTGCATGATTAATCATGCAGTTTCTTCTCTTCCATCAAAAAGTAAAATGTAATTGTTCTGTGACCACTAGGATGGTTTAAAACAAAAACAAGTCTTATATAAAAAAGTCTTCAGTGAATATAAATGATTTTTAAGGCCGTATTGCATCTGACAACCATGTAGCAAAAACAAATATTACCAGTGGAAGAATGGTCCTGAAGTTGAGATGAGGACTGGAGATTCCCTATCCGTAGTTCATTTTGTGTGTATGATGATGAGGATGGTTTAATATTGGAATCGGTTACCAGGGAACATGGAGAACAAGGAACATGGAGAAATCTAAACTGTCTAGATTTCTAGAACACACTCAGCATTTCTCAAGCTGAAAGAAGTGAAAAAAAAAATTAAACTCTTGCGTTGCAGTACTGAAGGATTCTATGGGCAAAATACTGAATGACGTAGGAAGCACATAGGAAGCATCAAAACAAGATGGAAGGAATACAGAGTCACTGTACCAAGAAGAATTGGTTGATGTTCAACCATTTCAGGAGGTAATATATGATCAAGAACTGATGGTATTGCAAGAAACCAAAAGAGACCTGCA